ACTTACCTAACAAAAGGCACCTTAACCTTGGTTGGAGAAAGAAGGAAGAAAAGGATGTAGGTGGAAGAGGGAGGCGTAGGAAATCAAAATGGGGCTTTTGGGAGCCTTCTAGAGGCTTATCCAAGTTTCCACTGACAAAGAAAAAAAAGCTTGGTTGGGACAATGCCATGTGTTACATCCAGGCAATGCAAACATTGATACATTTGAGTTCCTATAAAGTGGAGGTATTGCAAAGTTCCTTATTGGCTTATTCCAACTTGTTTCAACATCCTCACCAAAATATCTTGAGCAAAATTGTGTTGTTTCATTTATGATGAATGCTTCCACAATGGATGCATCAACATGATTTTTGTTCCCTATTGTGTCCTTAAGTTTACGCATTCGTCTGTCAAATTTAAATTACGTTATGAGAATCATAAATGGTTGTAGATTTTGTTATATATGGAATGAGTGTCAACTTGTTCACATTACCTTTCAAATGGGTACATCCATTGGAATTGCACAGGTCCACCAATCCGCACCTCAAAAGGAAGATGGATTGCTAGGTGCTCCATACAATCAAAACATGATGGCGGGAAGATTCTTTCCAACTTACAAATTGTTTCAACTATCTTCGTTTCCCAAACCGCCATCTCGTTTATATTGACAGTAGGGGCACATAGTGCACATAAGAAATTATTTACTTCCGTTAATGGACCCCATATAGAATCTGGAAAAAAATCATGGAAAGCAATTGGAATGAGGCATTGCATGAATACATGGCAGTCATGACTCTTCAACCCACTTAAGTGGAGCTCATTTAAGTTCACACATCGGGAGATGCTGGATGCAAAACCATCTGGAAATTGCACTTGTTTTAGCCATGTACATAAACATCTTTTTTGTTGTGCGTCAAGGGCATAACTTGCATTTGGCTTGCAAAGTGTGCTAGAACTGTCATAGTATAGGTGTAGTTGTGCCCTAACACAATATAGTAGTAAGTCCATTCTTGACTTAATAGTGTCTTTTGAGGACAAGTCATCCATGACTATGTGAATGATGTTGTCAAAGAAATTCTTCTCACAGTGCATGACATCAAGATTGTGTCTAATCATATTATCCTCCCAATATGGGAGTTCCCAGAAGATACTCCGTTTGACCCAATTATGGGTTTCACCGAAGCCGGGAATAGTTTGGTTCACTAATGGATTTCCAAATAAAACATTAGGCAGTGCATCAACTTTATGCCGAATGGACTGACCATCTAACCGTGGAGGAGGAGGGCCAAATTCTAAATGGCCCTTAAGGAATTCAGTTGCATTCAATCTGTATGGGTGTGATGTAGGAAGAAATTGTCGATGACAATCAAAGAAGGATATTTGGCGACCATGTTTCAAGTAAAATGCACGAGTCATTTCCATGCAATATGAACATGCCAAACGACCATGGCTGCTCTAATAAAAAACCATACCATAGTCGGGGAAATCCATTATGGTCCACATAAGCATGGCTCGTATTATGAAGTTTTCTTTACAAAAACTATCATATGTTTCTAACCCAGACAACCATAATTGTTTCAGGTCATCAATTAATGGACGAAGAAATACATCAATGTTTTTTTCAGGGCTCTTTGGTCCAGCAATAAGAAGTGTAAGAAATATGAATTCAGGTTGCATGCACATCTCAGGAGGAAGGTTATAAACGACGATGAAAACAGGCCAACAAGAATATGATGTTGAAGAATGACTCCACGGGTTGAACCCATCTGTCGCAAGACCAAGACGGATATTTCGCGGATCACATGCGAAAGAAGGATGAACTTCATCAAAGTGCTTGTAAGCAGTAGACTGAGCAGGATGAATGAGGTCCTTTGAGTTAGCACGACATTTAAGGTGCCATGTCATATGTTCAGCAGTTTTACGGGACATATACAACCTCTGTAAGCGTGGAATTATGGGCAGATACCACAAAGTTTTCCTTGCCTTATCTTTTTTTCTAGTTTGAGCTGGGTTGCGTGTTTCATACCTGGGTTCACCACAAATTGGACAAGCAGTAAGTGACTTGCCATCCGTCCTGTAATACAAAAAGCAATTGTTGATGCATGCATCAATTTTAACATAACCTAAACCTAGCCCTTTCATGAATTTTTTTGCTTCATAAAAATTTGATGGTACTTTTTGTTGGTCTTCAGGATTTAACGATTGCCTACAGCCATGAATGATCTCATTGAACCCAACACTAGTTATGTTGTTTTTGGATTTGGTGTGCAACATATATGCTAACCAACCAAGCAATGTTTGATTATTAGATGATGGTCCAATTAGGATGCTTGAAGCACGCAGCAAGTCATAAAAAGTTTGTGCATGTCTATTTGGCTCATCCCCAACAGTTTCACTTGGAAACTCAGTTTCATTCATTGGGTGATAGTCCTTAGATGGACAAAATGTGTCATAACCCATGTGACGGAAATCATCCTCAGTGTTAACATGTTCCTCTATATTACTTGAGGACACCACATCACATACGGCAGACCATGAATCGGCATTGTTACTTAATGTTTCACCATGTGCCCACCAAATATAACATGCATCCATGAAACCATTATCCACAAGATGCTCCCTTATGGTAACCTTGTTGTGGTGGGGTAAGTTCCTACATTTACTACAAGGGCAACGAATATTGGCATTCGGGTTCACACCCGGACAACTGTATACAAAATAAAAAAATTGATCCAATCCATTAAAGAATTCATCATCGCAATCTTCACGAGGACCTTGTCGTCTATACATCCAACAATGATTATCTGTCATCTTTAATTGAATAATAAAATAGAGATATTAAATATATAGAAAAAATAAATGCGTCATCAATAGTATTTATAAATATACATTTATTGGTAAATTAATTAATTCATGCAATAGTTGGTAATTAAACGTGATAAATATGAATTGGTCAAGCATGAAATAAGTAAAAAAAAAAAATTTAATTACAATTACATTTTGGTTTGGCAAGCGGCCAGGTTTGGCTTGGGTGCAACTGTGTAAACATGGGACATGGGTTATATGGGTTAGATCATAAACAAGTTGCACTCAATGTTTTGAAACCCAACCTGGTGATCTACCCTTTGTTTTTTTTAACTTGTTCTGGTTAAGCCAGTTGAACTAGTTGGACCGGCTAGGCCTCTAAGCCAGTTGAACTAGAAGGATTTATTTATTAAAAATATTAATATTTAATAATAAATTAAATTTTTTTAGAAATAATAAAATTTCAATTATAATATTGATTATTG